CCTGATGGTCTTGGCCACGGGATACGCATGCCTGACGAGCGGTAAGAACCGCGAAACCGGTCGTGTGCTTCCAGGGAAAGTTTGTCCAGTCATTCACATACTACTTAGTATGAAATATGTATGCATATCACACATCTGTATCCAGACTGTGTGCCAAACAAATCGCAGTACAATAATCTTTATAACAAGAAAAACATNAAACATTTCATGATTTGCATGTGGGTGGAATACTGCCAGGTTAGGTTGCCCAGGTCAAGGTAGGTGAATTTTCTTGGGGTATCCATGACCGGAGTCTTCGGCCAACCAAAGCCTGACCCGCAAGGTAGTGGGGCGGTGTGAAAACTGCAATTCATTGGGAGCCGGTGTCCAGTTCATCGGATCATACGCCCTTCGGACGGGGTCAGATGTCCAAGGTGCCCATTCGAGCCGGTGATCGTTGCCACAACCGGAAAGGTGTGGATGTGGTTCATGTGCCTCTTCATGGTTGGTTTGGAATCAGGGTTTTTTGGCCAACTCCCCTAGGTAAACTACCAGTGGTCCACCCCCCGGGATATTGGCTTTTCGTCCTCTCACTTTGGTGGGAAAATACCTGCGTCACGAGAAGGCAGCGAGTAGGGCTTCCTCAGCAGAGACTATTCGAGACGCTTGACCGTATTGGAGTATTTCGCGAGGTGCAAGGGAAGGGTGACCAGCTGTAACCCTTGACTGCCACCCTGGATCATACTGAGGTTTTCCGAGAAAAAGATTCACAAACGTTTGACCGGCGTAGTGGTCAATTTTACGTGATTCCGCTTGGATACAACACCACTCAGAACACTGTTCTAGCACTTTCTTTTCGAAACTCAATTAATCGAGAAACTTGCATAAAAGTAGACCTGGAGCACAATTCTCTTGACGCTTTGGTGCACACAATCCGGTTTGGAATAAAACTGTTGTTTGAAAAAATGCTTGTACCACAATTTAATGGGTGTTCTGTTTATGTCAAGACCTACTGGAATTACGTTCGCATGGTGTTTCATCCATAAATTCTGCACATGATGATGATGATGAATTGGAACAGTTAGGAGACGATGTTGAGACTTGGGCACACGGCTTCCGTTTCGATATGATGCTTGGTGACCTTAACCGCTCGATCAGCTCCACCATCGCGCTATTCCCATTTCTGTTAGATGTTCGTTATTTTTTACATCCAGAATGAAAGCATTGTCTAAATTATAGTCTGTCAATATCCCAATTTGTGGTTTGCCACAGCACAGTCAATTTCAACGACTGCAAGCACGCTACAAGTAACGACTGTTCATGTTTTACAGTACGATTCCAAATGCTTATGAATCAGTTTTCCATCGGTGTTTTGGTCACTCATATTTTAAGTTATTCCTCGGTTTTCTCCTATCTTCAGGTGATCATTGTGATCAAGTACATATTCCAATTCAAATTTATTTATTTCAACGACCCAATGGAGAAGCCCTCCGTGTCGGCCGAGGCATTGTGGTTGCCAAGACTGTTTGGAATAGATAAGAACGATCACTACGCCCTGTTTGACTTGATTCAGTTGATCAGTCTGTTTTTGCATCGGGGCTATTTGAAAAACAACGGGCTGTGGAGAGATCACACGGAATTCGCGCAAGATTTGGAACTGGTTGTTGAAGAAAATCGTGCTGCGGTAAGTGATCTATTCACTATATATATCCGCCTGTGTGCCTGTTTATTCGCACGTGCACATGGGCACGCACTCATTGCACCAACCACAAGTGTTATAGTTCTTTTACGGAATAGCTCTCTTTTTATGTTGGTAAACGGCGGCTATAGCTTGTTTCTACGATGGAGCGCACAACTTTCTCTCTTTAATGGGAAAAGTCAGGCTTCACTGTTCACGTGCGATATTCTGAAAGTGGTCCGAAGACAAATTGCAGACTACTCCGATTTGAACACTTATACTTAACATTATTTTTCCTAATGAGTTGTGTTGTGACAATGGCTGTACTATATCTTCAAAATGTATCTGAATGTCTTGACATGTATCGGTGGAAACACACGGTGCCTTTCGCGGATGCTACTGTCCATCAGGTGTGCCTATTCGGAAGTTATCTGTCTAATCATTCAGATACTTGTATCTGGGATGGTTATTTTCTACCAAAATTATTTTGAGCACAAATTGCGTATATATATATATATATATATATAAATCTAATAAGAAACAGTTTAGGACGATATTCAGCCATCTATTGTATTGAAATGTAAATTCACAAAACGGTCAATTATCTAATCGTTATGGTTTGGTATCTACTGATTATACTGCAAAAATACAGCATGTGGTGTGAACTTTTCCCAGGAAATGTTTGCAATCATTCAGAACGTCAAATACAGCTTTGATGCTTTTAAAATTGCCTTTACTGATGATTTTACTCCGGAAGAATTAAACAAACCTGTATTGGTCATTATCGAGACAAATGTGCTATCACATTGTTGTTTATCAAATATTGAAACTTGCAACAATAATGACCGGTAATAATGCCAGTCTGAGCTGAATCAAAAGTTCCGATTTTTTCTCCTTCCCTCTCCTTCAGCAAATGCGTCGAGCTAGTCGTCATGCGGGAGAACGATCCAAGAGGTTAGTATGTTTTACTGATAAAAAAGGATATCGATGTGTTTTTTCCCTGTCTGTCTGTAAATTAACAATGTCTTTTTCTGAAGAATCTTCCAGTTTTTATTCATTACCAGAGACAGACGATCCAGTACTTCGGCGTCGACCGGTACAAATAAACTTCCTGAGCGTCCAGCTGAGTCAGAAACAGCACATCAAACCCATACTATGAGGTATACCTGCTGCATTGTAGTCTGTTCTCGATCAAATTACTTCTTCCATGTAGTAAGAGTTGAAAACATCTAGAGCCAAGATGTTCTCATTCTACCCATGATCGTCATTCCAGCAGTTATTCATCAGCTTTCAGCCCATAGGAGTTTAACCATCGTTGAAACAGGCTACACTTAAGTCTCGAAATGCCAGATGAAGACTGTGGTTTTAGAAAAAAAAAGCTTTCTGCAGCTACAGTGAACTCACAGCGCAATCGCTCTCAACAGTAAGGTTTCATTGTTTCTGGCAATCCAGGATACCAAAAGGTAAGAGATATTCGACGACGGAGCATGGAATCCTCAAACTCCAAACATGGATAAGCGTTATCAATGAAAGTATAGAGCTCCTCCGGTCAGACTACAAGGTCCGCAGATCTGGGGCACTGTCTATCTGAGCTGGTCTCAAACTGACGCACTTCGGTTGCAGTAATCCCTGACATCTAATAATACTTCGGCAGGATCGGGTCGCTCAAGGCTAAAAAACAGTGCGCCTCCTGTTTCTGTTGTTGTCTTGTTGTCAATTCACTTGTTGAGCAAATGTACTTTTTCTGTAACCCCTACTTTGTCAACATATTGATAGTTTTCTCCCATTCACCATTCTTTTTCTGGACGCAATGGCCTTTTGTTATTCTTCGTTGTGTATGTATGTGCAAGCTGTATAATCGTCTGAATCAAATCTTGGTTCAGGGGCACTGTAGACTAGCGATTGCAATATTAATCAAATCTTCTGTTGGCTGCTGCAATTTCTCCTATTATCCAAGCAGCCTTTTATTGGTGATGATTGTGGTGTCCAATTATGTTTGACAATTTGGTTCGTAGTTCCTTTCATCCACCGTTCAGTCATTCTGTCATTACACCACTCTTTTCAATTATTCAATCAGATTTTCTTTTATTCACATCAGTTTATTACGTTGTCAGTGTACATTCCCATTAAAATGTTTATTGTTCAGTGCACTCGGGCTGTATGTACTTTTTGATTTCCTACTCAGGTCATCCAAAACGAACCCACCCAGTCGTATCTCCAGTGACTCTAGCAGTCAGGGCGTGTTCAATGGAGCGAATTCGAATAATCAGCTTCTGGCTACCGGTCAACCACTGTCAGGCAATCCTCGAATGGCCAGTGTAGGCAAATCTTGGAATCCGTTCGCCAAATTACATCGATTCTATTTGAAGATGACAGATCCGCGATACAACAAAAAAGTGGATGTGTATATCTACATGTTCCTATGCGAATTTATCTCGTTCTGGATCATGATCTTCGGTTATGTGTCTTTCGGACCTAGTGTAAGCACTTTTTACCTCCTGTTCCAGAATGGATGCACATTTTTATTTGGCGAAACTTCCGACTACTTCATTGCCTAAGTTATATCTAGATTTACTCTGATCGGCGATTTTTGTGTCTCAACTTTTCCTTGCCTTGTTAGAAACGCACTGAGCTTGCCGGCAAAACGCTGTCATCGTTACCCGCCGGTATCTTGGTTATAGCAATAATTCCACCGACAGTCTTTCCACCAACAGATCGGTGTTCAAATTGTCCGACATTAAAACGGTCCACTGATGGCCGATTTATTGTTGCACTTCTCATTCGTGTTATCAACCAGTATATTTAATTCAATTCTTTCTGCTTTAAAAATCTCACCGTTAGAGAGCAAATACACTAACCCTCACCTCCTTGATCTGATTCTGTTTCACTCTATCGCCCGACATACACGAACGCCTCATACAAATGTTGGCATGTTTGTTTTCTTGTCTTGTGTCATATCCGATTCGCATCCGACCGGCGGTCTTCTCTCACGTATTTTCCGTTTTTCCTAGGCAACGGAATGAGTGGTAATCTTGCAGCTGCGACTTTATATCTGTAACACCAGAACTGCATCATCCCGATTGGGAAATAGGNTGTCTGTTTGTTTTGTAAGTTGATAACGTTCAGTGGCATAAATTAGTTTTAATCCGTTTTTCCTTGAATATCGCAGAAAATTTCAAGCCAATCTATCTCATCCCTTGTTTAGGTCACTGAAAATAAGAATTTAATTGCTGTCATTAGTGTTGTGCAACGAATTGTGCGTACAAAGAATTTTTCTTAATTCTTTTACCTCAATCAACATCTGAATACATTGTGGATTTTATCGGTCTTCACTGGATTGGAATTGGTTGACTCTGATTGGTAACCATTCGCGATTTCGTTCTTGGTGGAAGAGT